ATGATTAATAACGTTTACACGGATCGTGAGTTTGGCCGATCGAGCGGCCGTAGGTCTTGCGTGACACACACTGAATTACGGACAGTCGTGTCTTTTTGGCGGTCCACCGCAGCAGCGTTGCGAGCTTGGATTCGTCCCAAAAATTAGAAAAGCTTTCACAAGACGAGGCAGGATCGATTTGGAGGCTAGCATGCATGCATGCATGAGCAGCTGACAACTGATGGGATTTGTCGCGTACGTTACGTACGGAACTCATAGTGGATTGCAGACAAGGTACCGTTTAGTTGTCTCTTAAAATGCTAAATTTTTCAAGATTCTTCGTCACATCGAATCTTTAGACGCATACATGAAACATTAAATATAAATAAAAAATAAAACTAATTACACAGTTTAGATAAAATTCACGAAACGAATCTTTTAAGTCTAATTAGACTATGATTGGACACTAATTACCAAATAACAACGAAAATGCTACGGTGCCATTTCGTCAAAATTTTTGCAAACTAAACAAGCCCCAAGTTCACTGGCAGTGCTGTCATCTGGGATGTTTCACACCCAAGTGTGAATACAGCTGCCAGCGTGCCATCAACTAGGCACCGACCCAAGTACCGAACGTCTGCATTACTGTACATCTCTCCGTTGTGGACTCTCTAGTAACGCTCGCGAAACACCGAGCCAGGGGGGAGCTTCAACTCGGTGCTCCATGAGTCGACAAGCCTCGTTGCCCTCATGGCTCATGCCACGTCGGGCGTACGTACGTGCCAGCCAAAGGGATGTACAGTACTGGGTGCTTCGTAAAGTTCACGAAACGTACGCAATCGCCGAGCGAGCTTTATTGTACTGGCTAATATAGGTCATCCATAGTATTACATCATACGTGTCCACAAATCTCCGGCTTTCTCGCTCATCTTTCCCTTGGTTTGCCGAGGCAGCCTTCTCTTTTTTCTCCTTTCTTCTTTCGGTCGGCCGGCACCCTTTGCTTTCCAAGCTATAAAAGTGCTTCTATGTCATGCGCGGTAGTAGCTTTGCAGATGTACAGAGCAACCTGCAGAGGCGTCGTTGGCTTGGTTCGACCCACGCTTTCCAGCAGAGAGATACACTCTGAGAAAAGTGGAGAGAGGAGTTGAAAGCGCCATGCATGCTGCAGAGAAAAAGAGGCAGCGTTCTTCAGCGATGGGAGTCTGTTATCCTCATCTCACGCATGTCTAGGTGGAGAGCACCTTTTTACCCAGGCTAACAGAAACGTATGCCCGTTGGGGCTGCCCTAACGAGATCGATCAAAAGCCTATTACACACACACACCTTTTTTTTTTCGTGCGGCACAAAAGCAGGCCGGTAAGCGGCGATCATTGTTCTGCCGGATCAGCCCAGTCTGCCAGCACCGGAAACCGCTCGGTCTGGCCCAACAAGCAAATGGACCGGTTTAAGTCCACTTTCTTGCTGCAGCTAAATCCGCTACGTGCGCAACAGTATTCCGCAGGTCTCTCGGCCCATTTTTTCGAGAAAGCGCTTAGCACGTAGTATTTCATTAAGTAGGTCTCACGGTCCATCGGCCCGGCGCGCAAAGTTGAAGCTTAAACCAGTCCAATCCTCGGCTCCACCGCCGCCTCCCCACTCCACTCCACTCGGCTCGGTGCACATGCGCACGTCTGTCGACATGTCCTCCGCCGAACTTGGCGCTCCGTCACTTGCTTCCTCCTCCTTCTCCTTCGTCTCGTCCCGGCGCGCCCTTGTTTCCCCTCTCGTCTCCCCACACCGCTGCGCGCGCGCGAGACTCTGCTGCGTCTCGATCAAACCGGGCATTTCCATTCCTGTGGGCTTGCGCATTTGGCTGGGGGTTTTACGCGGGGCTGGTCACCGCTCGCCGGTGTGCGCGTGCGTGTGCGTCTGGGGCTGGGGCGCACGGCCGGCGTCCTCCTCCTCCTCACGCGACGCCGACGCGATCGATCACGCGATTGGCTTTGGCATTGGGCACGCGCGCGCCGGAAATAGGCAGCCGGTGCATGCATGAAAAGGAAGAGGAGAGAAGGAGGCGGCGGCGGAAGAGGCGCTGGGCCGGCGGACCATCACGGCGGCGGCGGCAAGGGGTCGGGGGCCGTCACCGATGCCGTGTCCATGGACGGCGGCCTCCGCGAGGTGTCCGTCTCCGTCGTCTTCTCCGTTTGGTGCCTCCCCTTCCTCCTGCGATCCCAGTTCCTCCACAGACAGACCGACGACCCTTCATCAGGTTCATCCTGTTCAAATCGTCATCTCCGGATGCTAGCTAGCGTGGGCGTGGTTGACCATGTTGATCCATCCACCATCTCTCGCGAGATTAAAGTTAAGCTTATGATCGATGTTACATTGCTCATCATGAATCCACCGATCGTGGTGATTGGTGAACGATGACCGCAGAGTTGTACGAGGACCACCACGGCAGGCGCGACAGCTACTGCAAGGTGAGGCCGTTGGAGGCCTACGTGCTGCCCTACCATAACGACTCCTCCACGACGACGTGCCAGTCCTCCTACTCGCAGCCGCAGCCGCCCCAAGAATCGCCGCCGTCGTCCGCGCCCGTGTCCCCAGGGCTGCCGCAGCAGTACAATGCTACCACGGGCGGTGGCAACGCGTCGTCGCCCGAGGTGGCGGCCTTCGTGGGCCTCGACGAGTTCCGTAGCCGCATCATGCAGGGCAAGGCGGAGAACGACACCGGCCGGCCCCGGCCCACGGACGGCGGCGCCGCGCACCGCCTGGAGCCCAACGGCGCCGAGTACAACTACGCCGCGGCGTCCAAGGGAGCCAAGGTGCTCGCGCACAACAAGGAGGCCAAGGGCGCCGCCAACATCCTCGGCGGCGACAAGGACAAGTACCTGCGCAACCCCTGCTCCGCCGACGACAAGTTCGTCGTCGTCGAGCTCTCGGAGGAGACGCTCGTCGACACCGTCGCGCTGGCCAACCTGGAGCACTACTCCTCCAACTTCAGGGACTTCGAGGTGTACGGCAGCATGAGCTACCCGACGGAGGCGTGGGAGCTGCTGGGACGGTTCACCGCCGAGAACGCCAAGCACGCGCAGCGCTTCGTGCTGCCGGAGCCCCGGTGGACGCGCTACCTCCGCCTGCGCCTCGTTTCTATTACATCCTCAGTTACCTCGAGGTCTACGGCGTCGACGCCGTCGAGCGGATGCTGCAGGACTTCATCGCTGGCGCTGGCGCAGGCGCCGGCGCCGGTGCCGAGGCCGACGCATCCAGGGACCGCGCCTCCATCGACTTGGCCAGGCGGGGGACGTCAACGGCAACGACACCACCGCTCAGCAGGCGCGCCAGGTCCACGCCAAGCTGGATGGCAACGGCAGCGCTGGGACTGGGAGGAACGACAGCGCCGCCGGCGACGCCAAGAACAATGGCTCCAGGAGCGGCGACGCGAAGCTGCCGCCGCAGGGAAAGGAGGTGAAGCCCCCGCAGGTAGCGGCGTCGGGATCATCTTCGACGGGGCGGATCCACAGCGACGGCGTGCTAAAGATCCTGATGCAGAAGATGCGGTCGCTGGAGCTGAGCCTGTCGACGCTGGAGGAGTACACGAGGGAGATGAACCAGCGGTACGGCGCCAAGCTGCCGGACCTGCAGAACGGGCTCTCGCAGACGGCCATGGCGCTGGAGAAGATGAAGGCAGACGTGCACGACCTCGTCGACTGGATGGACAGCGTGGTATGCATGCCGCAGAACAGGCTCTGAATGCAACGAGTCTATTTGACTGGTAGTGACTCAGAGGAATTTGTTCAGGTCAAGGACGTGGACGAGCTCAAGGCCTGGAAGTCGACCGTCTCCGGCAAGCTGGACGACCTGATCAAGGAGAACCAGGAGATGAGGCAAGTGCCATTTCCCCGCCGCGGCCAGTGGATCTGTTCATCTGGTCGCCAGTGTTGGCACTGATTGGATTTGCTATTGGATATGCAGGTGGAGCGTCGAGGAGATGCGGGGCGTGCAGGAGACGCTGCAGAACAAGTAGCTGGCGGTGGTGTCCATCAGCCTCTTCTTCGCGTGCCTGGCCCTCTTCAAGCTGGCGTGCGACCGCGTGCTCTGCCTCTTCGCTGGCAATGGCAAGGGCCCTGTTCGCTTGAACTTATCAGCCGTACCGTTTCAGCGAAATAATAGTGTTTTTCTCTCACAACAAATCAGCATCAGCTATTTTTCCAGCCAGCCGAACAGAGCAAAGGGCAGGGAGGAAGCCAACGCAGAAGAGCACACAAGGAGCAGCAGGGCGTGGATGCTCGTGCTCGCCAGCAGCAGCTTCACCACCCTCATCGTCCTGCTCTACAATTGAAACTTTACCACCTTCATCGCGCTGCTCTCTACAACTGAAACTGTCTAGAGTTTGGCTCGAAGCCATGTTCTTGTCCGCGTAGCTCATTAACTCCGCTAGTTCTCTCCTCTCAAGTAGATGGGCCACTGGGTAGCATATGTACTCACTATTTCGGAATAAAGCAGGAACTCAGAACACAGGTTCCTTGTTCATTGTAAAACAACCTCCAAATATATGTGTTCCAAAATAATACTCTTCTGAAAGCACAAAGAGACAATATTATTTCAACGATATCTTAAAGTAGCACCAGTAATCGATAAAGGTTAAAATCACATGGACAAGTTGACTACTTCGACAGAATCGATCACTCTAATGTTCCATCGGTTCACACATTCAGCAACTAGTTGTTCTGTTTATCCAAAACATTCATATATGGAACACAAGGGATTTATTTTGAGGCCAGAAAGAAAGACACAAATCAGTCCGCACAGGGTACTGCAGCAGATGCAACCAACAAAGAATTACATCACCAAAATCAACAATTGAGCGAGCAAATTATTGAGGCAATGTTGCAATGATGTGCCCGTCTTTGTTGGCTTTCAGCACTAGATAAACTCTTACAAGAAACAAAATTGTGAAGGAAGGCAGGTATCATCGTCGTTTCGACAAGCATCAGCTAAAAGTGTCGATTATAAAGCAGGTCTTAACCAGTGGAAATCATCTAGACCTTATAGCCGGTTAAGGTGAAACCTCTGCCAACAATCTCTCCTACGCAGAACCATGCATAAAGCTCAACACCAAATAAAGTCGCAATCCCAAGGTCCTCAACCTTGAGGTCCTTCCTGTTCTTCCATACCTGCTTGACACTATCAAGCTCCTTCCAGAATGCCTCATAGCGACCTGGTAGGCTGAACAAACACAAGAATGGTTAGAAACAATGAAAAGTAAACTCCTGAATGGAACAAGTTACATATTGCGTCTAATTGCTGTTCCTAATGCTTTTATTAAGTTTCAACATGCCATTTGCATTTAGACAAACAATTATGTGTTAATTGCAGCTCCTTGACATTTAAAATTTTGTCAGACCATTTCTATTTATTATGGTCAGCTTCTAAATACCTCCAAGCTACTCCCTCTATTCCAAATGTAAGTTGTTTTGGCTTTTTTTGGTACATAGCTTTTGCTATGCATCTAGATTAAACTATGTCTAGATACATAATAAAAACTATGGATCTAGAAAAGCCAAATCCACTTACAATTTGGAACAGAGGGGGTATTAATTAGCACCAAGACTCAGAGGAAATATTTTCGCCTCATGTTAATAAACACTTCCATCCTTGGCTCCTTGCTACTTGGAAGTATCACATTGACTTGGAACATATGAAGAGAAACTACTGGCCTCCAACCACTGCACTTGCCACTGTACTAAAATGTTTTTTTTAGCATTGTTTAATGCCATGCTCAGCTAACTAGCTAATACAAAGGAAACACAGGATCATGACAGGGCCAAGTGCCCATCAAGTCATCCTATCACATATGCAAATTATTTAGATATATGAGACTAACGAGGAAAGTAAAACGTGGATATGGATACACCTGCACACTGCACCCAGCAAATCTTACACACTCTGATCAAAGCAATTTTTGTCAACACTTGATGTCAAGACGTTATGCATAAACTCTTATAAACCAGAGATATACATGTGCATCTGTCAATCAACTGACATCCAAAATAAACAAGAATGCAATCACATTCGCCAATAACCAATCAAGTTATCAGTGTTTATATGCAAAGCTGAATCTACTCTTTCGTACATGCATAGTTTTCGGCCATGGTGATATCATAAAGATTCATTTCCAGAACCATACATCAAATTCTTCTTGAAGCAGTGCCGACACACCAACACCACAAGAGACTCCCCACCAGGGTGTTAATTGATCAAACTTTCATGGTTTTCCCTTATAGCCATGCGTTGCGCTCTATGCATCTGTCTATGGCCCTGTTCGCTTCGCTGAAAAGCCAGGCTAAAAAGTATTGTTCGTTGATTTGTTGTGAGAGAAAAACACTGTACCATGGCTGATAAGTTCAAGCGAACGGGGCCATGTCTCGACATAGGATGGATCTCAGCAAATTGCCAAAAAAAATACAGGGAATACATAGTTACAAACATGGATAATCGAGCATGCAAGCATTGATGTATAGGTTTATTTTGCTATGAAACTTCAAAATTGTGTTTAATCCAACTTAAATTCAGGAACTGGCAGGTATAATATTGAAAGAGGAGATGGAACATTCCATTGCATAAAGGTTACAACCATGATATAAGGAACAAAAACATTACAAATAGATGGGAGATTTATCACATTTTCTATAGCTACAAACCACATGAAAAAATACATATTAAGTGTAAAGTCATCATGAACAGTGAAGCCATGAAGAACCATGTTAACCAAAAGGGTAAGACAAGGACTGCCCTCAAAAGTGAAGAACATAAATATGCTGCGCTACCTACAAATGCTCAGTTACACTGCCCGAAAAGTAACCACATTATCTTGCTAACAACATTAATCTGCTCACAGAATCAGACAGTCAGCTTGGCTATCCTCATCACTGATACTGGCCATAAGCAAGTCACATCATACATCCATACTACGTTCAGGTTTAACAAGGTGATGGCAATAGTACCCAGGACAAAAACATTACGTGCACAACGCTGTACCCATCGAACAAGCGACCTGAACAAGCCCCGTTACTGATTACTGCGCGCACGAACAGATCGTGCAGCACTTCAGGCAAGAGAACCCAATTGGGTAATCACAACGAGACGCAACATCAAAAGAGGGAGGCGGTTTCACCTTGCGAGGCGGGTGTAGAAGAGCTGCTTGGAGAGCTCCTGGCACTTCTCGACGGTGGGGGGCTGAACGACGTACTGCTTGTTCTTCTCCATGACCTCCTTGTAGTAGGAGCCGCCGTGCTTCGAGGCGAACTCCGCCGCACGCGCCGCCTGCGCGCGCAGCTGCGCCAGCTTCGCCGCCATCACCGCCGGCCCTAAACCCTACGACACCCCGCACAGGAAGGGAAAAAACGAGTCAAACCGAAAGGAACCAGATCTGGACGCACGGGGTGGGGAGGCTACGGATCTGACGGGAAGAGGTCAGAGTTTAGGGTGGAGGATCGGAAGCTCACCTTGGTGAAGCGAGGGGAGAGATGCGGGCGCGAGGTGCGAGGAGATCGAGAAGGGCGAGGACGGCGGGCGAGATGGGGAGGGGAAAACGGTGGCGGAGGGTCCGTCTGGGTTGGTCGATATCGTCACTTCTAGTAGTTTTGGTTTAGTGGTTAGGGATTTGTTTCTCGAGTGTCGCACCTTGTAGATCTAGAGGTTAATCGTACCCTACCGACGGCTGACATTAGGAGCCATATTACAAACCAACGAGCTAAATTGAACAGACTTTTTATTAATTATTGTTAACATAACCACATAACTTTTGTATATGTGATTTTGACTCTTTAATAAAACTTGATATCTGATGATTATTTGTCAATTTCAAAATATTTTCTCTCATTCTATCTAAATATAATAGTGGGTAAACCTTAGTTAAAACCCTAAATGCATTATTTTGTGTGATTAGTTGACCCAAGAAGCCCACCCAAAAATCCATATGTAAAAAAATATTGGTCAACCAAAATTACACTTCCTCCCAAGGATCATTAAATCCAACATCTGTTTTATCTCAAAATATTGTTAGCACAAAAATCCAATAAAAAATAAGCATGTGTGCGGTTGGAGTGTAGCAAAATCACATGACACACACCCTTGTCCGTCCCACCCATCAGTCATGCTAAATCCCTTCACCAATTTCCTCATCTCAGCTCTCCTACTCCTTCTCGTTTCCTCCCTCACCCAAGACAAGAGAAATAAGAAGAGGAGGTAGAAATCCCCCATCACCTCACTAAATATGGCTAGAGCATTGGCAGAGAAGGACACCGGTGAGCAGCTCCACGATATCGACCACCTCTTCTTGCTCGCTAGAGTTGGAGCAAGGAGCTTCCTCAGCTTCTTCTTTCTCCCTCAAGCTTCCAAGAACAAGCCAGACTCCTCCATCAATCCACTCTAGCCAAGATGTTATGTATGGAGACTCCCCCTCAATCTAGTAAATCCTCTCCCCGAAGCCCTCATTTTCCCTTCTCCCTATCAAGGTTCACTAAAGCTACACCTCCCATCCAAGGTCTCGCCACCATGGGTGACCTCGAGCTCCCAAACCCTCATGCATGTCAAATCCACCACCCAAAATGAATTCCCCAAATGGAAGCCACAACATCAAAAGCCCATCCAAATGGGTGGCCGCAGATGCCCAGAATTGTCCGTGGTATCCTCCTTAGCATTTTGGTTGACCTCGATGGATGATCTATGAAATATGTACTAAGGGTTATGAGCATGGCCACCCCTCTAGGGCCGAACGGTCTGAGCGTGACCAACAGATGTGTTGCGAATAATGAGAATTCAATTGGATAATTGTATTAAGGCCTAGTGGTAACTATATATAGAGTACATGAGAGGCATAAGAGGAAAACTCCATAGCACAATAATATAGTAAAACCCTTGACTATTATACCTTAACACTCCCTCTCAAATGCAACATGAATGCAATGTTGTTCATTTGGAGAGTTGATACTATGCACTAGCCTTTAAAAAGGAAGAGCAAAATGTACCATAGGCCCATTAACTTTTTGTCCTATGTCACTTAGCCCCAACATCTTTCAAAGTTCAATTTGGATCTTTAAACTAATTATGTTGTGCACAGGAGGTCCGTACCCCTTTGGGGGAAGGAATAGATCCTATGTGTATTGTCCACCATGGCATCGATGTGTACCTGGCTGGCTAAAGGAGAAGGGAAATTTCAAACATTGTGGCACTTAGATAACCGCTATGCACTTCAAGTTTCTCCCCTTAATAGTGCGGTTATCTATTGAAAGCCCTAGTTTGGTTTTGGATAATTGATGAAACCTATGTGTACTGACCTTGCAATCTAAGTGATGTGTGAGATAGGTTTGTACACCCAAGTTGTGGAGCATGATGGCACTCAAGTGATGGTAATGATCACATGAAATGATGAGATGCCACATGTGATAATGATCAAGTGCTCCAACTTGAAGAGAAGAAAGAGAAAAACAAAACCCTATGAAGATCAAGGCAAAGGTATAAATAAGGATTTTGTTTTGGTGATTAAGACACTATAGAGAGTGTGATCACGTTTAGGATAGATGGCCGTACTATTAAGAGGGGATCTCTACTAGACAATTCGGTCATCTAGTGCCACTAGGTGTTGGACTTCATGCATTGCATTTAGGCTTAGTGCACTTAGGAGAGCAAGCGAAAATATTTATTGAAAATGTTTTTGAGAAATGCTAACTTGGCTCTAACATGTTTTGAGAAAACACCTTGAGAGTTAGCATCGCTTGTGGAGAGTTGCTCGAGTTGTCGTGGATCAAATCGTGACAAAGTTCGCAACTTGGAGAGCAAGTGGTGGTGCCTGGGTGGCACCGCCACCCCTGTCCGGTGGCACCGCCACCCCTAGGGTGGTGCCCTCCTGGCCTTGGCCGAGCAACTCAATTAGGGTTGGGGCAATGCCCCTACCGATGTACACCGCCCTTGGCATGGCGATGCACCGTCGTAGGGTGTCCGGTGCCACCGCCCTATTTCTCCCGAGGCTGGCGAAAACGAGTTTGAGCACAGGGGGTCACCGCCAGTCACCGCCATAACGGCGGTGCACCACCCTAATTATCTAGAGAGTGATGTTTTCAGGGAGTTGGCTCGGGGTGGCATCGCCGCACCCTTTCCAATGCCACCACTGCCTGTCCGATGACCCAACGGCTAGTCAAACTAGCCGTTGGTGACCGTTGGAGGGGGCACCGCCACCCCTGTCCGGTGGCGCACCGCCCTGTCCGGTGCCCCGCAGAAACAACCCCAAAGTCCAACGGATCTATTTGCTTATGTGGCTATAAATAGAAGAGGTGGCCGGCCTTGGCCACTCTCTTGGCACCTCATACACTTGTGCACATCCTTTGGGAGCTGAGCTAACACCATCCACTCACTTGCACACTTGATTTCATCATTTGAGTGAGATTGGTGAGCCTGAGTTGCATCATCTTGTGGCACTAGTTGGGTGATTTGGGCTGGTCGTGATCTTGTTACTCTTGGTGTTTGCTAACACCTAGATGGCCTGGTGGTTGGAGGATCATTGAGCGGAGTTGGTGATTGTCTCCGGCTCCGATCGGTTGCTTGTGCGGGTTCTTGACCTTCTACCGGCGAAGAGCCAAAAGATACTCTAGTAAATTACTCGTGTCATTGAGTTACCTCACTTGTGGGTAGGTTTTTGCGGTGCCCTTGTGGTGGGCTAGGTGTGTGATACCTATTAGCCGCTGAACCACCAAGTGTTGGTCGACACAATGGGGACTAGCATGACGGCAAGCACGTGAACCTCGGGAGAAAAATCATTGTGTCTCTTGTCTCCTTGGATCAGTTGGTATTCATTATTTGATTGATTGATCATCACTTGCTAGGATTGGTAACTATCTCTATCACTTGTATTTACATTTGATATTCCTTGTTTAGTGGTAGAAGTAGTTAGACTTGTTAGTTGAGTAGCTAGAAGTAATTAGTTAGAATTCTTGTGCTAGCTAGCTCACTCACTTAGACCTAGCAACCTAGACCTTTGTGTGCCATAGTGATTGTAATTCACTAGAATTGATTCGATAGGTGGCTTGCATCACTTGGTAGAGCTAGAGCAAAACTTGCTATCGTCATTTGTTGTACTAATCTTTTTGCTCCAGTGATTTGTAGATTTTTATTAGGCTATTCACCCCCATCTAGCCATTTAGGTTTTAGGACCTTTCATCTATTCGAAACCTAACCACGCACTATATTGCGTCTCAGCCAGTGAAAACAAAACCCTATCATATAATTTTACCTTTGTGCTTGTTTCCACCTCATCTTAATCTCCAAGTGTGAGTTTGCATCATTTTAAATGGTCACCCTTTGTCCAACTCCTTGCCTTGCTCATCACCTTTGGTGTGGACTTTAACCTAGCTTAATTAACACTTAGTAATAGGTTAGTCCACTACTTGTCTCAATTACCAAAACCAAACTAGGCCTTTCACTAACCCCAAGTGATCTCCCATGGAACGATCAACACCTTTAAGCCTTAGTAGCATTTGTCAAACATTTAAAAAAAAGGTTTGTCACGTGATTTTCAAAACACCAATTGAATTTATGCGCAATGCAAAGATTTACCCCACAAGTGCCAATAGATAATGTTGGCATTTCTTAGCGCAATCACCAAGTGAGGAGGTTTTAAGTCCATCACCAGCAACGGCGCCAGAAATGCATGTGGAAGACATGTGGGCCTATTGAGCATGTGATTGTCGGGCGGCTAGGATCTTCCTTTTTTGACGAATGGTGGGTCTACGAAGTAATCATGGCTCTCGTGACATAGAGGCTTACCGAACCTCGTTGAGACCATTTTAACAGATTCGAGAGAAGTTTTGGGTTGCCCCGGATTCTTTCCTGAATTAGAGACAGGTAAAGCGGCAGCAATCTGAGCTATTTGAGTTTTGATCATTTTATTAAAGCTCAGTTGGTTTTCACTGATGAGGATAAATTTTTAAGTTTTGAATTTATATTTTCAATCATTTTATCATTATATGAAAGCTTTTTAGAGATATTTTCGATAATTTTTGCTTGGCCTAAGACCATGTCTTTCAAGGAAGGTTGATTCGAGTTGTAATTTGAGTTAAAGTTTGAACTACCTCCTTGTGGGTGGGACTGATTGTTCCACCCATTGTTATTACCTTGTCGGAACCCATTGTTGATGTATGCGGCATCTTCATGGGTCTCAGGGTAGTTTTTCCCTAATGTCCGGCTTCACCACAGACTTCGCAAGTCATTTGCGAGTCCATGGCCTCAACGGTGGCCTTCATAGCTTCTTTTTCATGGGCCCTTTCGTTCAGTCTTGAGAGTAACAGGTCTATTTTTGTGGC